GCAAAACCAATTTTCCCTGCAACCATTCTGATCTATGCTGGGTATCTTTAAACAGAAATCATGTCATTTTCAAATGTGTGCTATCATCTTCTGAACTGGATGGGAAACTCAGAAATGGCCTGCTAATGTTGCCAGCTTTGGAGATATTTAGTATCTGTTTCAGGTGGCTGACAAACCTGGATTTTAAAAAAAAATGAATTATAGCCAGTGTGATTAATAAACTTTCAATTATATACCATTTTGGATACTGCTGGGGGAGATGACCTATCAGGGGGTAACAGCAGCAGCAGCTAGACTGGTGGCACCACGGCTGGCTCCGTTCTTAAGAAGGTTTTCTCATCATTTCGCTTTTAGAATCCTCTCCTGTGAGGTCAGGATATTGGCAAGCTACAAGTTATGAAAAATACATTGGATGATACATTTTTGTCACTTTCACATACATACCCATTGCCTCAGTTGGGAATTCCAGAAATGATGGGGGAACAGTAGGGATTCAGCAGCATGCTCGCAGAAAATTTAACATCAGATCTGCTCAAGTAATGTTTAGGAGACAATAATAATATTTTCACTCGGAGCTATATTGAGTCATAAAATGGAGAGAGGCTGAGAAAGTTTGAGATTAGCTTAGCATTAAGATGAAAATAATAATGTTAGCACATTTATTGTTGATCAGCAGAACTGTTGACGCAAGCCAAATGGACAAATACAAATGGAAAGATTAGGTGTGCAGTAAAGCAGGCAACTAGTAGAGGAAAAAATGTTGACTTTCTTAAAAAAAAGGTCAAGAAAACAAGCAATTATTTTCCTTTTAGGCATTGCAATGAGAAGAGTGCATATTTAATAACGGTGCTCTGTCTGCTGATAATATTTTGCTTGTGAATTGCTTTATAAATTGAAGAGTAAGTGTTATAAAGAGTAAGTGTTCAGAGGGGTATGGGCCAAATGCTGGCACATGGGACTAGGTTAATTTAGGATATCTGGTTGGTTTGAATGAGATGGACTGAAGGGTCTGTTTCTATGCTGTACAACACTACGTTCCAGGAGTAATCAGAAGTGCTGTCTGATTTTGTAATCCTTCAAGTGATACAAACAGAATTTTTCTTTAATAACAATATTTTGGGGGCAAACTCATGCAACTCAATTTCAGAAGGCATCAGCAGAATTTAGTCATATGTTAAAATGCCCCCCTTCTGCTTTTAATTATCCTTCTTACATTATTTCCTCAAATTATTTGAAAAAGAATTAGGAACAGTTGCGAAAGCTTATAATCAAAGGTCATATTGAAAATTCTAAAAAGGGAAATTTTACATACATGTGAGAGAAAAAATGTGATCATTAACTTTTACATGTTCCAACTTTGTTTATAATTTAAACATTAACAATCTGCTATTCACTGCACAATGAGGTCAGCTTGTGGTTTTGAAAATGACATGTACAAAGAGAAATCTGACAAAACATTTGATTAAAAGTAATCCTTGTTTCAGAAAGGAGACTAAACTGGGAATGGGAAGGAGAGAAATGAGAAAGGGTTTTTTTTTGTAGAGCTGCTCTACAAATTTTCAGTAAAACACACCACGCTTCAAAGGAATATACAGCAAATTTTCCATATTGTAGATAAGTTATCTTAATATATTACAGGCACATTGAGAAGCTCATAGAAAATCAATTTTTTTAACCCTGCCTTGTACTGAAGGAATGAGGATTTTGTCAGTGGTATTGCTTTATTTTTATAAAAGGGAAAATGTTTTGTGTTATGCATCAACTCTGTATATACACATGTCCCATATGATGGTAGGGCAATTAGAAAATTCAGAGAAAAAACACAATATCACAACAGTATAACTTGAATTGACTGTGTAGTATTTTCCAGGGTCAACTTCTCTGTTTCAGAACAATCTGTAGCTCATCCCAAGATCTGGACAAGACACCATTGGTCAAATGTTCCATTACTCCACTGGAAATTTCCATGATTCTAAGTCGAATTGAGCCAGCAACTGTTAGGTCAACCAAGAGTATTCACTAATGTGGAGGTAGTAGGAACTGCCGATGCTGGAGTCTGAGATAACAAGGTGTAGAGCTGGATGAACACAGCAGGCCAGGCAGCATCAGAGGAGCAGGAAACCTGACACTTCAGGTCTGGACCCTTATTCAGAAAATGGAAATGGATTGGAAATGAAAATGAGCTGGTCTTTATCATGGAAAGAAACTGCTTCACTGTTTACTGAAGTTAGCCCATCATCTTTCAAATGAAAATTCAGTTCAGCTGCTAAGGGACTTTTATGTAATATATTGGGTTATGTTATCACATACATTTTGGACAGTACAGAGACATCCATTGAACATAAAATATTTGAAGTATTAATAGCTTGGTTTTTCTTTACCTTTATTCACCTCTACTATTGAAACACTAAAATTAAATTGAATACTTGACTCTCACTTACAAGAAAGGTACAACAATCATCGTGTGATTTTAATATGCAAACAGAATGGATTAATAAAATTGTGAACTTTTCCTCGAGGTTACCCTTGCTAGAGTGCATTAGAGTTTTTTTTGGGAGCAATTTGTTGGATAACCAACGAGAGAACAGGCTTTTTCATATTTAGTATCATGTAAGGAGATGGGACTAATTAATGATCTCATAGTAAAGGTTTGTCTCAGGGAGAGTGATCATTGCATACTGGAATTTGAAATTAAATTTGAGCATGAAAGACCCGAGTCCCACACTCGTGTTCTGGTGTTAAACAGAGGCAATTACAGCAAACATTTTATTAACCAGCACCCATTGGACCAGGAGTGTGCTGCTGGATCAAATATTCTGGTTAATCATAACCACAGTAAACCCTGACCAAGTGAAGCTTTGAGGCATCAGCATCCCTCAAAAAAAAAATCTATGGGAAAACATCAACGTACATCCTAAAATCAATGTAAAAACATGCAGTAATAGAAGCAATGCAGGGGTGATACACATCACCATCGTACTTTATTTGCAGCATAAATACTCAGACATTGTGGTAGATTGCAGTTGAGGTATATAATCTTTGGCGGTTTATCAAGAGGGCTGGTTGATGCCGTGCCAGTTAAAAAACAGTTTGCTGTATATAGGCACGAGCGCAGATTTAGGCCTTAGATGAACAGTAGCAGACATTTAAGGAGATATTCAATTTCTCACAAAGTATATTCTCGAGAGGGAGAATGTATGCGTGTGTGTTGGGCGGGGAGTGTTGGGGGAATGAGATTCCATGATTAAGCAAGGAAGTTAGTTTTTGCCTTTATGGTATCACTAAGGCATACTGTATTGCAAATGTCAATGGCAGGCTGGAGGATAGGGAACCTCTTAAAGAACAACAAGGGGTAACTAAAAAATAGTTATATAAAGAATGAAGGTGAACTACAAAAGACAACTAACTCGTGCACAGTATAAAAACAGAAAGCAAAAGCTGTGCAATTTTGCTTGTGTGCAGCTGCCCCAAGGTTCTATGTGCAGCAATTAGCATCAGCACACTAATTGTGGCATTGATTTCTGGTTCCACTCACAGGCCTCAGAGGCCCACACAACTAGAAAGAAAATTAGAGAATTACAGGGAAGATTGTCTACAAGTATACAAAAAGGAATACAGTAGCTAAAGTGAATGCTGGTCTCTTAAATGCTGAGAATGGGGAGTTATGGGGAGCAGAGATATGAGACAGATGCAAAAATCAATATTTTACCTCAGTTTTCATGGTAGAAGACACTAAAATCACTCCAATAATAACAGGTAATGCAGAGGTTAAGGAAAGAGAACTTAAAACAATTGCCATCACTAGGTTAAAATGTGCTGAGCAAATTATTGGGAGTAAAGGCATACATATCTCCAGAACCTGATGGCCTACATCTTATAGTCTAAAAGGAAGTTGCATCAGAGATAGTGGATGCTTGGTTATAACTTTCCAAAATATCTCTGGATTCTAGAAAGTTTCCAGTGAATTTGAAACATGCTAATGCAATATTCCTCATTTCAAAATGGAGGAGGCAGGAAGTAGGAAACTGTGGACCAGTTAGTTTAACGTTAGTTTAAGAAATTGTAATCCATTATAAAGAAAGTAGTAATGGGACACTTGGAAAATCAAACCACAGAGGTTGTATCCAGAATTATTATAGTTTTAGGTAGGGTAAAAAGTGTTGTAACTAGTTTGCTAGAGTTCCTTGAAGATGTAACATACAAAGTGGATAATGGAAGTCCTGTAGATGCAGAATATCTGGAATTCCAGAAAACCATAATATTTAAGAGCTGAATTAGATTTAGCCCATTGAGTCTGCTCTGCCATTTGACAAGCCCTTAATTCCCAGGATCAGTCTGTGAACTTCCTCTGGACACATCCAATGCCAGCACATCCTTCCTTAGAAACAGACTCAAAATTGCTCTCAATATTCCAAATGTGGTCTGACCAGACCCTTGTGCAATCTCAGAAGTATATCTCTACTCTTATATTCTAGCCAGCTTGAAAGGAATGCTAACACTGCCTTGAGAGAACCCATGTGGTCGGGGTGATTTATCCACCTTCAGATCTTTCAGCTTCCCCAGAAGCTTCTGCTTAGTGATGGCCACTACACTCACCTCTTCATCCTGACTCTCTTGAAGCAAACTCTTCAGAGTTTCAAACATACTAGAGATCTCATTAAACTGAACATAACTAAGTAAGATTACGTGGAGAAGTTTTGTGTTAACAATCGTTTATCAATGTGATCTTGCAAACATTTCTTGTGATTAAAATAATCATATACTAGCCAATTATGAAACAAAAGCACACTGTTTTGATGTTGTGATAAAGAATTCACTCAGCATAATAAGCTCTTTTAGGAAAAAGAACCACAGTTTAGCGAAAGTTCTACTCAAAAAAGCAGTACTAATCAATTAAGGAAACAGTCTCAAACTCTATACTGCACATCTTTCAAGTGATATTTTTTCTATTCTATAGAATGTCAGAAGTACTGTAACTATTTGGAAAAACAAACACTGCAGATGCTGAAATTTTTTATTAAAAAATAATCTGCTGAAAATGCTCAGGGTGTCAGGCAACATCCGTTGAAAAGAAATAAGCATAATGTTTCACATTGATGATCAGCCTGATTATTTCCAGCACATTTGTTTTAATTACAGATACATTTATGATCTTTAAATGAAATTCTCCTGGTGTAAAGGAATTTGTGAAGATTTTCATGGATGCTGTTATAGTAAATACTGTTGCAACAGCCACATACTTGGCAAGATTGGATGATGCTTTTAAAAGCTAGCTTCAGTTGACTGAATCAACTCATGAAAGAATCCTTGAACTGCATCTTCAAGTGGGAAAGTATGGGTTCATAGCAAGTTCATGACTTTAGCTATGCAATCAATGTTGAGATTTCCAAAAATTATTCAGCTTGGTCACAGTTGTTTAAATATGTTATGCAAGACAACTATTATGCTTTTGGATTCCTAGACTGGGTGTTTCTCTTGGTTGCGGCATCATCAGTGTTTCCAAATAACCTGGATGTATCTTCATTTTTTCAATATCTCGGTAAACGTAGCACAATTTCAGAATCAAAAGAAGTTTGTCACAATGTCATCTGTAACCAAAAGATTATCTGGCTATACATTAGCAGAGATCGTTATTGATTATTAAAGAGGCTAGTAAACTGTATTTTGCATAATAAAATATTTTCAATAATTGCAAACTTTCTATTTTCTGAAATAACAGATTTCTACTGTACTGTCACCATAATTTGATTCTCGAAACACGACTGCTCATGTTTTACTTCTTAAATTATCACCATTGAACAGTGATTTTGGTTCATCATTCTGCTGGCTTCAGACTAATTACTATTTGTGATGGACTCGTACAGGCACCAAGACCAAGTCAGGATGGAGGCTTTCTTTTTAAAAACAAAGGATGCGTGTCTAGAAACCTCAGCATGCTGGATACTTTAAATTTTAAAATTGAGATTGATAGACATTTTTTAGGTAACAAAGATATACTGAAAGAAACAGTAAAATTGATCAACAAGGGTGTAACAGGAGTGACTGTATAGCCTACTCCTACTGTTATACGTCCCTTTCCCTGTAACCTCTCCCATTCTACTGCCTTGACCCCACTCCAAACTTTGTGTTTGTCTGATTCTGGCCTTTTGTGCAAGCTCCCTCCTTTCACCTCATAAATCATGACTTTGCCATCTGTTATCTAAATCCTATGCTTCAGAATCACCCCTTTATAACCCTCTGCATCCTCACCACTGGCCCTTAACATAATGCCCTTCGTAAAACCATCTCTCTGACCAACCAATATGCACTTAAATATTTCCTCTGTTGTTTGGTCACATCCCTATTGCCTAGAGGAAATGTTTTTTAGTGTTAAACAAATTCTAGAAAAATTATAATGTTATTTGGTGCTGTATGTACCAGCACCTAAGTGTCATTCCTTCAAAATCATCTTGTTCCAACCTCAAAATTACCATTACTTGAAGGAAAGAACATAATTATGTACAGCAGACAAAATTATTTCATTTTTGCTGCAACAGCTTCCATTTAAAGTTGGGTGAAAGAAAACTGTAATCTCAAATGTAGGTTGAACACACTTCCATTGGTTCACATCACTGCTTCCTATCAAGGCTTGTGCTCTCAATGATAAATGTGAAGTTTTGTTTAAGATAATTAAACCAAAGTGAATTAAAGTTCAAGTTTTTCCTCAGATTCTGCTTTTCTACAGATGTCCCTATTTATAGGCTAGCCCATGCTCCTCTTCGTAGTTTCACTCAATAATATTGGAACAGAAATTGTCAATGATTCCTTGTAAAGGGAGTATGGCGCATGGCTAGAATTTTGTTTATCTCCCCAGCAGACAAAGACTATATCTGGAGGCTTTCTACTTTCTTTGCTATTTGACAGAATTCATTACTATGGAATCAAGATGCCAAATATTCAAATCCTCCTTTTCAATAAAACTAACTCTCTTATCGTCATATAGAGGCAGTCTGAACATAAGAACTAAATCACGTCAATGTAGTGAAAATTTTAAGACAAACAGCAAAGAGAATTATGGATAGTAGGCGCACAGATTTTCAAATAAGTAAATGAATGAAATTTTTAGATCAACATAGCCATTATATATTGGAAGCATCTATATTAACACATTGTGCCCAAGAATGCTTGATAAGCTTAAAATACATTTAAACTCTCATGTAAATTAAGACATGCAGTTCAGTTGTCCCTCGATTTTAACTTCTTCAAAAAGAGGGTGGGATAGTGTTACTGAGTCTTCTGATTCTTTTACCACTTGGTTGAAATACTTAATTAAGTTGCTTTTCCTTTTTCCTCTCAATATTCCACGAAAATGAAGAAGTGCTAAAAGATGTTTCTCACTGTAAATTAGAGGAACATAGACATTAGAAGAATGTTTTCATAAACTAGAAGATTAATTTTAAACGTTTGGCCGAACATTCATATAATAAAGGCACCAAGGATAACAATTCACAAAGAATTCAAGCAGATAACAGCAGGAGTAAAGGAAACGAAGATGTAGTGGGGCAGGAATTAAGTTGAGTTTACTTTAGAGGAGAGCTGAAAAATGGTGTAGAGATGAAAGAGATTAAGGGAAGGTCAAAAGAGAAACCTTTAATGAGGCCAGAGATAATAGTAGCCGGCTCAGCTTCAGTTTAGTAGCCAAGAACAAATGTGAGAGAGAGATAGAAAGGAAGTGGTTATGGTAGCATGCTGGAAACAGTAAATCAGGAATTGAAAGTTGGTGGGTGAAAAGAACTCAAGAAAGTTACAGTTACCAGAGCTGCGTGGTGGCTCAGTAGTTAGCACTGCTGCCTCACAGCACTAGGAACCTGGGTTCAATTCTACCCTCGGATGGCTATTTGTGTGCAGTTTGCACATTGTCCCCATACAGAGATTTGGGGGGGGTGCGGGAGAGATGCTCCTAGGAGGGTCAGTGCGGACTCAATGGGCCCAATGGCCTGCTTTCACACTGTAGGGATTCTATGATTCCACGTATGGTAGCTAAATTTGCTAATTACAAGGATAGGTAAGAAAACAAGCTGTGAAGAGGTCACAGCGACCCTACAAATGAATATAGATAGGTTCAGTGAGTGGGCAAAAATCTGGCAAAGAAGTGTACAGGGGATTCTGCTACAACAGGTGTTCCATCAATGCAAATTGGCTACAATACGACTGACAATTAGAGGAATGCTATTTCTAAAACACAAACTTGTGTTGGCTATAATGCGACTCCATCGGTGCGCAAAATAGGTTGGATGATGGGACAAATTTTTTCTGACCTTATTGTTGTTTTAGAAGATGTTTTTAGAAAGTATTGCAGGAAAAAAAAAAATTGAATTTCAAGACTCTCCTCATCTTGGGTATTGCGCCAAGCCATCCTCCCACCATTGATGAACTTCCTGAAAACATCAAAGTGCTATTTCTAGCCTCAAACACAACCTCTCTCCTTTAACCCATGGACCAGGGTGCAATGGAGGAGCAGGGAAGTTGACGTTTTGGGTCGGGACCCTTCTTCAGAAATGTCCCAACCCGAAACATCAACTTTCCTGCTCCTCTGATGGTGCCTGACCTGCTGTGTTCCTCCGGCTCCACACGGTTATCTTTGACTCCAGCATCCGCAGTTCTTAATATCTCTGACCAGGGGTGCAATAGCAGCTTTTAAAGCTTATTATTTAAGGCGCATATTTAAGAGGCTGATTACAGACACTGAGGGGGATAAGGACAGTCTTTTTCAATTTTGGAAGAGCTTTAACATCAAGAATGTAATTTACATTATCACGGAGGCCTGGGGTGATGTCAGAAAAGGACTGCTTGCATGCAGTTTGGTGGAAGTTTCTCCCAGATTTTTTTACAAGGTTTTAATCCTTTGATCCATCAGAGGAGCTCCCAAGAAATAAAGAACATTGTGTTGATCTTGCAAAATAAATTGGATTTGAAGAAGTTGAGAATGAGGATGTTGAAGAGCTGCTTGAGTCCCACTGTCAAGACCTCTCTGCAGTTGATCTACAACAACTTGTCACTGAAGGGGAAGTGGAAGCTGCAGATAAAGAAGATGAAGCCCAGGATGCAGCACCACAAGAGCTTACCACTTCTGTTTTCTCTTATATCCTGAGGGAATTTGAAAAGCAGTTGCAGCTCTTAGAGGAGAATGATTACAGTGCAGAAAGCAGCAGGGTGGCAGTTCGTGAATAAGATCTTATTTGGCACCCTATGAACAGCTTCTTCATGAAAGAAGAAAAAGAGCAAAGCAGCAAAAAACTGGATATCTTTTTTAAGCCAACCCCCAAGAAACAGTCAGAAGATAATGAACCACAGCCATCCACTTCTGGATTAACTATTTTTCACCCTAATCCTGCAACGACAACTGCACCTGAAGGTGATGATGACAATGACCCTCAGCCCCTGCATTAATAATAGAACAACCTCAAAATCTCGCCCATCAAATCATCTTGACATTTTTTCAAGATAAGGTGTTAAATTTACTTTTGTTTTATTATTAGATATGAATTAAAATTTATTCAAACTGTCCTATCCTTTGTGTTAGGCTTTTGAGCAATTTTGAGTAATATTTTTTGGTGGTCTGCCCCTAACCCTGCTTTTCTCATAGGCCTCGTTATTTATATAGCGCAATTTTCTATAGCACAATGTTGTGCAGGAACACAACTATTGCAATATTGCAGAACCCCCGTACTTCACAAGGAAGTGTGAAGTTGTTCATTTTGGCAGAAACAAAAAAAAGAAGCAAATTATGTAACTGATGATAGGTTGCAGAACTCAGATGCAGAGAGATCTGGGTGTCCTAGCGCATGAATTGCAGAAGATTAGTATGAAGGTAAAGCAAGTAATTAGTAAAATTAAGAGAATGTTATGTTTTATTGTGAGGGGAATTGAATGCCAGGGTAGGGAGATTATGCTTCAGTTATATAGGACCACATCTGGAGTACTGTGTACAGTACTTGTTACCGTACTTTTGGAAGTATGTTAATGCATTGGAAGCAGTTCAGAGGAAGTTTGGTAGACTAGTACATAGAATGAGAGGACTGCCTTATGAGGATAGGCTAGACAGGCTAGAACTGTGTGCTTTAGAATTTAAAAAAGAGTCAAAGGTGACTTAACTGAAACATACAAAGATCCTGAAGGGACTGACTGGGAAGATGTTGCAAGGATGTTTCTTCTTGTCAGAGAATCTCGAACCGGGATCATAGTTTAAAACTAAGGGGGCACTCATTTAAAACAGAGTTGAGGAAGCTTTTTTTGAGGGTTGAGTGTTTTTGGAATTTCCTTCTTCAAAAAGCAATGGATGCTGAATCTATAGTTTTAAGGCAGAGGTAAAAACATTCTTGATTACCAAGGGATTAAAGGTTATCAAGAATATGTAAAAGTGTAGGAGTTGACGTTAATATCAAATCAACCATGACATTATGAAATGGCAGAGCAGGCTCAAGAGTACCAAGGGGCCTATTCTTGTTCCTTTTCTGTACGTAGATGGCAGAAATTAGGTGAGCCATACAGTGTTCATAACCAGAGAACTGAGAGAAAACAATACAAAACCTAAACTACTTCCGCATATTTATACTCAATAATTTAACCAAACTATGGTTCAAAATTGATTGCGGAACAATCCAAAAAGTCGGGCCAAATACTCAATATACGATTTCAGTGCATGTATTTCTATACTGGAAAACCAAAGGTCAACTGCCGGATTTTATGCTCCTCGCCAGTGCTTAAAGGTGGGGTGTGGGTGCATGGAAAATACAGCAGTGGTCAGTCTGCCACCCACTGGTCCACACTGATTTGACTCACATTTTATTGGGCATGCTTTTGTGTAGCCTGCACATATTTCAGTCCATTGAAATCCTTAAGTGGTCAATTAATGGCTAGTAAAGTGCCTCCTCCAGTTCCGCTGCTATTTCACCCATGGCTGGTGGTGGCCCACCTCAAGTGGACAGCAAGGCAGCTGTTGCTGGGTTCTCTATGCCTGTCAGAGGCATTCTTCCCCAAGCTCACACCTCCCTACTGCCAAGCCTAGCCTCTCAAACATGGTCTCCAATTCCTCTTGCTGGGGGCTGCCAGCGTGGATTGCATCATAGTTCATACTTAGATGTATATTGGCTTCCATTAGCTCCACTCTCTTCTGGACTGTATGCAACATATGCACTAGCAACTGCTCAAACCTGGTGTTGCTGGGACTACATAACTATCTGTCAATTGGGCAGACTGGTTGCTGTCCAAGTCTTGGCCCGAATCAGTTAACACCCTGCCAAGAGTAAATGGTCATGTCGGTTATTTGACAGGTAGGGTCTCAACTCACTTAGCATCCGCAGAAGGTGGGGTTGTGGTGGGACTCAGTGGGATGGGGTCCTTTGAAGAATTTAACGCCACTCCAAAAAGTCCTTAAAACAGTATTAAAAGTATATCTGGATAAATTTAATACGAAGCACACCAATTTACCCAATGTCTGGATAGTCCATATATAAAGTTTTCAGTTTTGTCTCAAGTTCACTTTTGTCTGAACCGATAAAATCAGGCAACTCTTGGGCTACAGGCAAAAGCCACAAAGCAGTACTTCCCTGGAAAACAAGAGATTTAGTTCATTAGTCTCGTAACGGAAAACGTGTTACTTGTACTGATGCACTTCACAAGTTTTATCTATCTTCTATCACAGTGACTGGTGATATTAAAATTTATAAGCTAGTAGCTAATACAGTCATTAACCAATATGATGTGCATCTACATTTTTAGAACTTACCAGAAATTGTCACAGGATTACAGTGCTGTTTGGCTAATGAAACCATTTTCAAAACACGATTTTTTGGGGAGGTTCTATATCTACAGTTTATTCCCTGAAACATACTTCTGTTACTTTAATGATAAAATCTGTAATGATATTTTACTTCACTTGTCTGACACTGCTCTTTGGGATTTCTGACATGTACCTTTGAAAATGCCAATATTTATAGGTGGAGTTTCCTAAAACAAAGGACCAAGTAAGCTACACCTTTTTGTAAGCTACACCTTTCATCAGGATAAATTTCAAGTGAAATTTAGGAATCTATTAAAATCAGCGATTAATAGAAATAACAAAAAGTCAGACACAAAATTAGCAAATTTCAAATAAGGTTACTGTTCAGAATGTGATGGAGGCTCATGATACATTATTATTATTTGGCAACTTGGGTTTTAAAGTGGATTAAGAATAGATTTCAGTTGAGTGAATGTCTATTTTGTTTTATATACAGCAGAAAGTCACTTAGAACAGCAAACTAAAAATAGCATCCCAAATAAAAAAACTTTTAGTTGAACGTCTTGCATAACACCACCCTCCAAGGAAGTAATTACAGTACTAAAGTTTTTGCTGACTTGAATTTTAAACCTTGAGAGGGAAGAGGGAAGACGAAAGACGAACTGAAACAGGTTCATTTCAGTGACAGAAGTTTATAACACCAGAAGTACTCTTAGTAGAAGTCCCCAAACCATTCAGGACAGGGTTGGAGGTGGTATCCTGAGAAAACTGCAGAAGCCACGATGCCACCCGAAGGCAGCAGGAACAGGACCTCATATTCCACCTGGGAACCCTGCAGCCCAATGGTCTCAATGTGGACTTTACAAGCTTCAAAATCTCCTCATCCCCACCTCCTTGACCTGAGCATCTTCCCTCCCACCTACCTGCCCCTTGCTCCTCACTGACCAACTCCCATCCTAACTCCCTACCTACACTCACCTTTACTGGCTTCATCCCTGGCTCCTTGACCTGTCCGTCTTCTCTCCACCTATCCACCTTATATCATCGCCTCCCCCTCTCTCTATTTATTTCAGAGCCCCCTTCCTCTCCCCCCTTTCTGAAGAAGGGTCCAGACCTGAAACGTCAGCTTTCCTGCTCCTCTGATGCTGCCTGGCCTGCTGTGTTCATCCAGCTCTACACCTTGTTATTCTCAGACTCCAGCATCAGCAGTTCCCACTATCTCTGCAGAAGCAAACATCTGTGAAGGTGTAAGAGAGAAAGACATCCTACAGTGCTGTCATTAAGCTTTGGGTGTCTAAGTTTGTTGTTGGGGTAGAAGGCTTTAAACTTTCTAATACTTCTAATGAGATGATTTTAGCTAGTTCTAGTATGGTGTGAACATAGTTCACATGTTTTCCTTTGGTGCAATAAACATTTTTGTTCTTCCATTAAAAGTTATGTTCTTTTGTTTTGGTAAACTCTTGTTAACATGTTTAGTCACTGACCTCCACGGTAAACAAAAAATAAAAACAAATATCATCTGATCTCAGTCTGGGATCTGACTTGTTCAGTATTACCATCAGCTGGGATCATAACGAGAAGGAATAGTGAATAAATAAGTTAGATATAGTTTGTTTATTTAAAGTGCTGCTAATTAATTACCTCTATTTCGGTTAACTGAATATCTGTTGCTTAAAAGAAAGGAGAAAGACACGTTTTCACATGAATGAGATGGAGATAATATATGGATTTAAAATATTATGATCCTAGCTGATGCTATTACTAGACATGTCAGATCCCAGACTGAAACCCAACTTGATGAATCATATTTTATGAAGTTTTAGTATTAACAAAGTTGTCTCTTACTGACATAAGCACGCAATTTTTATTTAAAAATAAAACAAATTTATTTAGCAAAGGAAATGAAGATTAAATACAATAAACCAAGTTATTTACTTATAAATTCAGGACAGGACATTAACAGTGAAGTATAATCTCATTTAGCCCAAAAAAACTTTTCAAATCCAAAATATATCCCCTATACAGTACCCAAAAGCAACATTTTACAGTCTTCACATCGCAGGAAGAAAGTCTTTTCCTAACACCTTGATAATGTTATGGTAACTATTGTGTTAAATCCTAGACTGAAACCTCAGATAACTTATTTCTGGTTATCATACACCTTAGTTTAAATGCACTCAGTTTCAAATCCTCTTCAGAGTTTTATCCCAACATTTCTAGGTTGTGACTGTCACAAACTCCTTGCTCCAAGATAATCTGGTTTCACTATATTCCGTCCTTCTTAGGAGCACTGCTCTGTCCATGTAACTCTTTCCAAGGATTTCACAGAATCACCCAAAATTAGGGGGAGAGAAAAAGAACATGCTAGAGATATTTCCTAAAGCCTTAAAAAATACTTTCTAACCTTTTAAACTGGAACTTGTCTAACTTATTTTGTCCTAAAACTCTGCGTCAATGTATATAATGGGATAGGGCTAAAAACCATTTAAAAAGAAATCACCATATCTATAGAAACATTTACAAGCTAATGACATAGGCCATCAGGGTCTGGGAACTTGCCTACCTTTACTCCCAATAATTTTGTCAGTACCTTTTCACCTATGATTGAGATTGTTTTAAGTTCCTCCATTTCTTTAACTTCCACATTACCCATCACTACTGGGATGGTTTCAGCGTTCTCTGGCATGAAAACTGATGGAAACTACTGCCATTTCAGTGTCTTCCATTAACAGCTCCCAAGTCTTGTCCTCTAAGGGACCAATATTTACTTTGGGTAGTCTCTTCTATTTTGTATACTTATAGATAACATTCCCTCTAAGTTTATTCCTAGTTGCACGAGCTTCTACGGCCTGTGTGTGGAACCAAAAGTCAATGTCACAATAAGCGCGCTGATGCTGACTGCTGTAAATGGAACCTTGAAGGCGGCTCCGCACACATGCAGCTGCACACCTTAAAGGGAATGTTACTTATAGAAGCTTTTGCTTTCTGTTTTTGTATCTTGTGCTAATTTTCTTTCATAATTCACCTTCATTCTTTTTATTACTTTTTTCTGTTACCCTTTGTTGATCTTTAAAAGGTTCCCACTCTTCCAGCCTGCCACTTGACTTTGCAATATGCTATGCCTTAGATTTTGTCTTTATAATAAGTTAAAGAGCTTCCTTGCTTAGCTATGGATGATCTTTTCTCCCTCTCTCAAACTTTTTTTCCTTTCTGGAATATATATTTAGCTGGGAGCAATTGAGTATTTCCTTAAACACATGCCACTGCTCATCAACTGTCCCCACTTTTTAGTTTTCCTTCCCAGTGCACTTGGGCCAAATGTTTCTTCACGTCTGTGGAATTATCTTTCGTTAACTACAGAACGATAATGTAGAACTCTAGTTTCTTGCCCCTGAATTGAATTTTAACTTCTATCATGCTATGATTACTCTTCCCTATAAGATCCGTTACAACGAGATTAATTAATTCCACCGCATTACACAATACCAAATCCAGAACAGGCTGGTTTCTGGTTGGTTCCAAACCATATTGCTCCAAGAAACACACAGTCTCTAATACATTAAATAAACTCTCCCTGAGGCTACCCACGTCAATTTGATTAATCCAGTCTATATGCATATTAAAATCACCCATGATTATTGGTATACCTTTCTTACAAGCACCTAGTATTTCTTGGTTTATACCCACTGCATGACAACTGTTTGGGGACCTGTAGATTACTTCCACCAAGGACTTCTTTGTTTCTTTCAAGGAATCAATGATGCATTTAACCACTTAACCACATTAAATGTGAAACTTTCAGTATAGTGAAACATTGTTTAGGAAAATGTCTGAATGCTGACCTAAAAGATATTTTGTTACTTCTAGGTACAGTAATGGAACATTGCAAAGATGTTCTAGATAAGAAATGATGTTTTAAACGTGCAAAGAGGGTGCAAAGTACATGAAATAAGACACA